CGGTCGGTTCACTCAGAGTGGATAAGGGCCACTAGTGGTGAATATAAGAGCATCTACCGAATGGGTGTCCGCTTCAATGCATGGATGTTGTAAGCTCAGACCCATAAAAGCTTACATTTTATTAGTCTTTAAGGTACCACTGGACTCCTTTTAGGTTTAGGCAAGCGGGAAACAACTCTCTTTTTCCTAAGCCCAGTTCTGAAATGTGGAAATCCCATTGTTCTCTGCATTATTTATTTTTATTTTATTTATTTATATTTGGATTTATATCCCACCCTACCCCGAAGGCTCAGGGCGGCTTCGTGTGTGCGATCCAGCCTGACACAGATGTCCCGTGCCAACTGATGTCAAAGGGAGTCTCACCCGTGGTTATTTTCATGTCAAACTCTAGAGCCAGAATGAGCTACGGTACCCTCAAGGCAGCACATTAAAGAGCAAAGATCATGACGCTGAGGAGCAAACTTACCTACCCAGGCACAGACCAGGATGCCATTAAAAGCCCTAAAGCGCCGGGGAAACCAGTCAGCATATATCTCTACACGCTGAGGGGTACTCTGAGCAGAGGTTTTTCCTCACATTTGTGGGGTCATCGGTTTTAAATATCAGTCATGGCCAGGGAGGGCATACCTTAACCTTACTAACTTCAGGTGGGCAGCTGTCTTGGTCTGAAGCAACAGAACAAAGTTTGAGTCCAGTGGCACCTTTAAGAACAACAAAGTTTAATTCTGGGCATAAGCTTTCGTGTGCATGCAGACTTCACTGTATCTGAAGAAGCGTGCATGCACACAAAAGCTTATGCCCAGAATTAAACTTTGCTGTTCTTAAAGGTGCCACTGGACTCAAACTTTGTCTTACTAGAAGAAGAAGAAGAAGAGATTGGATTTATACCCCGCCCTTCACTTGGAGTCTCAGAGCAGCTTACAAGCTCCTTTCCCTTCCCCTCCCCACAACAGAGGTGGGTGGGGCTGAGAGAACGCTGACATGAACTGCTCTTTCAGGAACAGCTGTGCCACAGCTTGTGACTGATCCAAGGTCACATCAGCAGGTGCAAGTGGAGGATTGGGGAATCAAACCTGGTTCTCCCAGATTAGAGTCCGCACACTTAACCACTACACCAAACTGGCTCTCAGTGTATTTAAGCATACATAATTTCTGCTGCAATGCAGCCCTCTTTGTGAACGAATTCCCACTTAAGTATGTTGTAGGGCTATCTTTCGGCTATGCTCCTGCAGAGTGCAGGGGGTTGGACTAGATGACCTGCAAGGTCCCTTCCAACTCTAACATTCTATGATTCTATTAGGCTGGTCTTGAGACATCCGGTCTTTGAAATAATATTTAATATTTTATTTATTTATTTATTTTTCACATTTATACCCCGCCCTCCCCATAGGCTATGTCTTCTCTTTTTTTCCAGTTTGACAAACTAGTTGCTGGCTTTTTAGCAGACCTTGTTCAAATCAATGCTGCACTAGATACCCCTGTGGCCTTTATTTATTATTTGTTTACGTACAACATTTTGGGGTCCAGGTGAGAGTGACCATCTGGAATGCAATTTAAATTAACCCAATGGCTCCCCAAAGCCACATGCTTCCAGATCTCTGTTGTCTGCCCTCTTTAATGGTACATAAAAATCGGACATCCAGCGACATGAACATTTGAAACAAAATAAAATACATAAAATGCAACACATCCTGTTTTCTTCATAAAGCTATGGAACGGCATGGGTCAACTTTTTTCTTTTTAAGTGCACAAGTTTTAACGTAAAGGCAGTAAACCCCAGACAGAAAGAACTTAAACAGTGAGAGAAATGAAACTGTTGTATCTCTGGATGTTCCGCTTGAGGATTTCCGAACATGGGCCGAGTACTCGCTCAAAACGAGGCCGGTCCAGCTTGACACACTTCAGGGGCCCGCGGGCCACCACGGTGGCAGCCCGGGGCCGGTTCAGCAAAACGGCTATCTCTCCTGGAAGCAGAAACAAAAAGACCATCATGCACTGATTGACGACCAATCCCGATAAAAGGGTCTTCCCTGTTTAAATGTCTTCTGCACAGAAAGCCACGCTGTCATGCAAACCCCTCTCTAAAAATATTGGCTTACTTCTCTAAATAAATTGAAAAGGAACATGCACTTACCGAAGTAATCTGATGGCCCGAGCCGCCCAACTTCCACATACTCCTCATTAGCGGACCTGCGCTGAAGGACAGATGCCGTACCCTGAAAAACATGGCCAAAGAGGGGGTTCGTGTCACTCCACTGAATGGCTGCTCTGAAAATCCAAACCAAGCATCAATGCACTCCAATCAAGGGTCAACCTTCATAGATGCAAGATGTTCTAGAACTCATACTCACTCCAAGTATAGTTCTCATTGAATTTCCAACAATATTATCAATTCAACTGACGGATTCCAAATATTTATATCCTGCTTCCTGACAAAGCAGTGTCCACAAAGTTTTATCTATTTAAAACACTTATTAGCCACACAATATCAAATGACACAGTATCAAAAAGAACAAGGTGACCCAGTGAACTTCATGGTTCCAGGCTTTGGGCATTGGAGCCAGTAAGAATCCTACACCACCATCAGGGCTTCTGGAATGTTCTCTCTCTCTCTCTCTCAGTATGGCCATAACTGCACATGGAAAGTGCTGTCACGTCGCAGGCAACATATGGCAACCCAGTCCAGTTTTCAAGGCAAGAGACAAATAGAGGTAGTTTTTCAATTGCCTGCCTCTGCATAGCGACCCTGGACTTCCTTGTTAGTCTCCCATCTAGGCTTGTAGCTATAGTGGGGCTTTTTTGGGGGGGGGGTGTCTGCCCCCTTTCTTAAAGGCACAGCCCCAGAAGAATTTGTCCTGTAAATGCTTTTTTCAATCATTTAAAATCATTTTTAAAGGTGTGCACTCCTTTAAGCAGAGTGGGGAGCCGTAGTTGACTAATTCCCGCACTGAGGAAGGGGGTTGGAGTAGGCGACCTCTATGATCCCTCTTAAGAGAGTTTTCCTGCCCAAGTGTTAGCTTTCTTGACTCACCACCTCCCACCTGCCGGCTTGTTCTCAGAATTGTTGCTTAAGCTGGTGGAGGTGACTAGCTTGCAGCAGCTGAGGACAGTCATCTAAAGTGGTTGGCAGCTTGCAATTTAGAGATCTCTCCTGGTCACAGCTTTCTGTTGGCTGAATGGCTTCTTTGTGCACTGATAACTTGACCCCCACCAGAAAAAAATTTGCCCCACAAGCCACAAAATCCTGGTTACGGGCCTCCTCTCGTCCAAGGACTAACCAGGGCTGATCCTGTTTAGTTTCCAAAGTCTGACAAGACCAGGCTAGCCTGGGCCACCCAGGTTTGGGCAACAGCATACAGCCAACTGCATTCTGAATTGAGTGAAAGCCAAAAGAGCCAGGCTTCTTCTGTGCCCACCTACTGCCCGACCCCACGCAGTCGCCCCAGCGGTGTGGAGGTCTCCATCATTCACATCTAACACCAGCAACAGCCCAAGGCATTAGCCTCAATAAAGGCACGAGAGGACGGAGACTGAGGCTGGTAAGCACAGATTGGGAATGGTAGGCATCCTGTAGCCCAGAGGTGTCAAACACGCGGCCCAGGGGCCGGATCAGGCCCCCCGGAGGGCTTCCATCAGGCCCGCAGTGGAACTGACCATCTCCTGCTTCCAGTTCTGCTGCTGCTGCTGCATCATAGCTTGCTTCGCCAGACTCTCTCAGTCGCTCAGCCATTTCATGTTTTAACCTGAGTCTTAGACTCAGAACTCTGAGGATGAGATTTCTGTGGTGAAGGTCAATAAATCAAAATTAGCTTTGCAGCTTACAGAGCTAATGTTTTAAGCATGTTTTTATTTTAAGTAAAAAAAAACCTTTGCGTTTGTGTCCTTTATGATGTTTATATCTCCGCTACCTGGCATTACATTTTGTGACCCACATGGCCCGGGCCAACAAGGTTCATTTATGTCAGATCCGGCCCTCATAACAAATGAGTTCAACACGCCTGCTGTAGCCCATCTAATGCCAGTGCAAATTTGATCTTTTTTTTTTAAGTCAGCAAGAAACAGAGAAAAGACAAGGAAAGCTTTTTTAGCTGAAGAGCAAAACAAAGAGAGAGCCCTGCATTTGAAACAAAACCTTGCCTGAGCCAGGGAAAGACTGGCCATCTGCAGAGTCTTGTGTTTGGAGGGGATCATGCCAGTCAAGTAGAGATTCTGTGGGGCATCATGTTGGGGGCACGCGTTTTGACTGCTGTGTGGAGCTGCCACCCAGTCAATGCTCACTTCTCTCCCCGACCAACCAGGAAAACCCCCCTATCCAGGCGGAGCATTCCTTGGGAGTGTGTTAACTACTCGGTTGTTCTCCTTGTGCCACGCCAGGCCTTTCCACGTTTGTGCGTCTTCTGATGCCCCTTGGATATCGACCCTCGACTGAGCCCAGACTGAGCTCAGTCCAAACGAAGGAACTGTGGGGGAGACCAGTCACACCTGCTAAGGAAATCTCCCTGCACCATTTCCCCAGAGGAGGCTGGGCACAACACTCTGAAATGCAGCAGCCTTTTGTGGATCTGCCATGAAGTTGTAATCACCCTGAGGTTTTTCGGCGCCTGAGGCAGATTATAACTTTGGCGCTATAACTCAGGAGGATGGGACCAGCAAAGCACAGCGGGAGTCGAGGGTCATCCTCGCTCCAGGAGACCTTGGAGCTGAGGTGGAGGCGACAGGTGAGCCCATCTCCAACATTACTGTCACCGCAGTCTAGATCTGAGCCAAACCAGGCCTTGTACTCGGGGTCTACCTAGGTCAGCTTGCTCTTGGGCGGTTTTACCATCCCAGTTAAGACCCTTCTGTGCCTGAAACCACAAAGCTGAACTACCAGAATAGACAATACGTTTTATTGTTTATTTTTATTTAAACCCTGCTTTTTCACCCCACCGGGGACTGAAAGCAGTTTACAACATTGTTCTCTCCGCCTTCATGTTATAGAAGAAGAAGAAGAGAAGATGAGATTGGATTTATACCCCACCCTTCACTACCCAAAGGTGTCTCAGAGCCGCTTACAAACTCCTTTCCCTTCCCCTCCCCACAACAGATACCCTGTGAGGGAGGTGGGCCTGAGAGAGCTCTGACAGAAACTGCTCTTTTTCAAGGACAGCTCTTATCAGAACTATGGCTTGCCCAAGGTCATCCAGCCAGGTGCAAGTGGAGGAGTGGGGAATCAAACCCGGTTCTCCCAGATTAGAGTCCGCGCACTTCACCACTACACCAAACTGGCTCACAGCAACAACTTTGTGAGGTAAATTCAGGCGGGTAGCCATGTTGGTCTGAAGCAATAGAACAAAGTCTGAGTCCAGTGGCACCTTTAAGGCCAAAAAAGTTTGTTTGTTTCGATTTATATCCCGCCTTGCCTGCACAGGCAGGCTCAAGGTGGCGTACAACAGTTAAAACACAATAAAACACAGATGAGAAAACGCAATTTTATAAATTAGTATAAAATTTCATAACAAGTATATATTTATAAGGTACTGCGGTGGCTCAAGTGGCTAAGACGCTGAACTGCAGGCTGTGGAAGGTCGGTAGTTCAGCAGTTCAAGACCCAAGCTGCCGCATGACGGAGTGAGCTCCCGTCTCTAGTTCCAGCTCCTGCCAACCTAGCAGTTCGAAAGCAAGAAATTGCAAGTAGACAAATAGGTACCACTTCGGTGGGAAGGTAACAGCGTTCCGTGCACCTTGGTGTTTAGTCATGCCGGCTACATGACCACGGAAACGTCTTCGGACAGCGCTGGCTCTTCAGCTTTGAAATGGAGATGAGCACCGCAATCCTAGAGTCGGACTTGACTGGCTTTCGAGCTATTGCTGTAAGATGATCCAAGTTGTTCTTAATACCATTAACATGAGGGTTGTAGCAGTTCAGTTTTTAATAGCTCAGTCATCAGTGGCGGCTCCTAATGGAAGGCCTGGTGGAAGAGCACACGAAAGCTGATGCCCAGAATTAAACTTTGTTGGCCTGAAAGGTGCCACTGGACTCAAGACTTTGTTCTTGTGAGGTAGGTTAGGCTGAGAGGATGGGACTGACCCAAAGTCACCCAGTGAGCTTCCTTGACAGAGCCGGGATTCGAACCTGAGTCTCCCCAATTGATTCATCTCAGCAAAGCATCCACTGCCATCTTGCAGGATGTGAAGATGGCTACGGCAAAGTCCCCTTTATTGTCCCACAGGGGCAGCAGACCTTTCGTGGACCGGTCGAAAATCATCCGTCCATCCTCCAAAGCAAAACCCCCGCCAGTTTTACATTCTCAATGTCTTTTCCAAAGATTTATTTCAGATGAAAGAGGGGGATGGGGGGTGGAGGGGAGAAGAAGAAAAAAAAAAAGGATTGCTTCCCACTCTGTCTGGCCTCAACTTTGACTCCTGCCAAATGCTGCCTTCCACAGACCTTGCCCCGCCACTTCTAGTGGCTCCAACAATCGCCCCTCCAAACACATGGTATAAACCAGGGAATTTCCTGGGCCATTTCTGGCCACCCCTCTGCAGCTTGTCTGCCTTTTGGATCCGAGAAACACCCCGGGATCTGCCGCCGAAGGGTAGAAATGGCTGATCTCCACGTTTTTAAAAAAATCTCCCCTTGGCAGGATGGAGGAATGCCTATTCCAGATACATATTTTTCCATTCTTGTTTTCAACCCTCAGATTTCTGACTCTTGCCCAGCACGAACAGGTCTATAATGAACCAAAAGAGAGAGACAAAAAATACCCAATATCCCGACAACAGGAAGCAGATGTGAAAATAGATTGTATCTTTTTTTTTGCCTCTCCGTACAAGGGCTCTCTACTCCGCTAGGGCTTCCTGGAGACCTGTCAAAGGGTGACCCTCTTGGAAATACCGTCCTCACCAGGGCACAAAGGAGAGGATGCTTATAATTAATCATCAAACAGCCGCTCAAACGTTTTACCGTTTGAACCAATCCTGCCGAATCTTCCATTGCAACAGGTCCCCGTTATTCCATCCGATGAGGATGTGAAGGCCAGTTGTAGCAACAATGATAACGCGCCGAGCGGGCTGGTGATACGCGGCTGTCAGAGGAGCCCAAACCTACACCGCTTCCCCTCCTTTTATTTGGATTTAATGGTTAATAAACCACCTAAGATGATGGGTACACATAGGCAAAGTTCCCAGGAGGCTCCACACTCTTATCAGGGTTGCAAGTCCTCCAGGCAGGCTA